CTCGACTCGGTGCTGTGGCTGGAGCTGTCAAAGCGGGTGTAGAAGTTGTGGAGGTCATCCAGCAGGCTGTCTGGGGAGCTGATGATGCTGGTGGTGGTCCTGTAGTCTGTGATGTGCTGCAGGCCTTGCCACATCTGTCCGGAGTCAACAGTAGAATAGAAGCCATTCAGCTTCTCTCTGTACTGCCTCTTGGCCGCTGTGATGGCTTTCCTCAGTCCATACTTTGCAGCTTTGTACTCCGTCTCATCAGCAAATTTTCACTTTGTAAAAGGTATAATAATGTTTTGCACATTTTCAATTTGTAAAGCACTTAGCTGCATTTTTATAAGAATTAACACTGTGGGCTCAAAGTAGTATCTGCCAATGGTGAATAATGGACCCAACATGGCGCCCACCGAGGCGAACGTGTTTGTGCATCCCACTCTTAAATGCCGGCTTTTTCTTTGTTTTCTTCTTTTTTGTGTGTTTTTTGCTTTTACTGCGGTGCACAAATGTCATGCACTGCTTACATACAACAGACAGGCATTGCTGGATATCACCAACTCACAAAGCCACTGGGAATTTACAGGTTTCATACCACCGGGGCTACAACTAATTGTTCGCTCCGGCGAACAACAGTAACAATGGCGAGGACAGCCAACACCGTCCTTGGGGAGTCCCCGGAGCACCAGGCACAAGCAAGCAGGCTGAAATCAGGAGAGCGACCTGGAGACGGAGACGCAAAAGGGGCAGGTGAGGGGGACTCCAAGCTAGGCTAAAAGCTTGCGCTACCTGACCACCATTACCCAGCCTCTTCCTAGCTAACGTACAGTCTCTGGAAAACAAACTGGATGAGCTAAGGGCGAAGAAAGAAATCAGAGAATGCTGTGCTCTAATTCTCACCGAGACTTGGCTTTCTGACAGAGTTCCAGACTCCGCAATTCAGCTAGAGACTCACTCTGTATATCGATGAGACCGCACTGCTGCTTCGGGGAAGGTAAAAGGAGGTGGTGTGTGTGTTCATTAATAACTCATGGTGTGGAGATGTACGTACTGTTTATAAGCACTGTTTGCCAAATGTAGAGTTTTTATTGCTGAAATGCCGGCCCTATTATCTAGCAAGAGAGCATAGTGCTGTGTGCTGTGTATGTTAGCCCAAGAGCTAGTCCCTCTGCAGCTCTCAGCGCACTATGATATCATCAACGCACTAGAAGCAGACAGAAAACCAGTGACAAGCCAGCGGATGAGTAACGTTCTCCTTTTCATCACTATATGTCTGATGACAGACACCGTCTCATCTCGGCCAATCGGTCAGTGGTCAAGTCTCTGCTCATTCAGACACTCAGTAATTAATGAAGAGATTTGAGCTGCTCCTGAACAGCTGAGTGTCAGATGTGATAGTGAATGTGAATCCTGATGGTGCAGTGATGTGTTGTGCTGAGCTCCGACATGGAAAAGAGTCCTGGACAGTCAGAGATCCTCATCTCACCTGGGAACTGTGCTCTGGCTCTCATGGTCCCCACACAGAGGGCTTTCAGAGGGAGGGCCTCCCTCTTCTCTGTCCTCACACAGACTCATGGCAGAGCTGCACTCTGTCAGTACAACAGCAGCACTGACAATGTTCCTGGGAAGATGCTCAGCTGCTGAGTTCACATCCAGTCCCAGAGACTGTGGAGCTTCACCTGTAGAAGAAACACAGAGAGAGGATGCTGCTGATTCTCCTCCATCAGTCCATGTGAAGAGGCCACCTTGGGCTGTGGGGCACCGGGACAGCCATGTGTAACCCACCTATAAAGGCATAGGCCCTGAGTTCAGTTAACTCACAATAATTATAACTGATGAATCTTAAATTTATAATAAACCCATCTACATTATATGCCCTTAGATCCCAGAGTACTGTATGCAATAACCAAACATATGTTAGAGTTAACGTTTCTTTATTTACTCAACAGAAAAATCAGGGTAAACCATAAATAATAACAATCCCTTCTGCAAATGTATTTAACTCTCTTCTCTATAAAACACACGTTTCAATGTTGCAAATAAACACACACATAATGGGCCCACACACCACACTCACACTCACTCTACACCAGCCAGCATATACTGTATATTGAGATTTAACCCCCATTGCAGGGATGCTCGGGTGCGGTGAGGCCAAAAACTAAGCAGCCGTTTCAATCATAAAAGCCAAACAAAAACGGTATCTTATTTAGTAGTTCGTAGTCCAGAGACTGAAGCTTTACCTCCTCCATGTGTCCAAAGAAATGGCAAAAGGGTCCTAGTAGTCCTCTGATGGCAAAGTAGTCACAAGTCCTCAGGTCCAGGTGCAAGTAGTAGCGGCCTCTGTTGTACCATCCAATTGGTCACTCACGTAGCACTGTCTGATAATGTCCATAAATTCTAGGTCAGAAAAGATGAATACAGTCTTGGGAGTAAGCTGAGTTAGCTATACTACCGATATCAACATTCATTTTGCTAACGAATGCTAGATAGCTAGTTATGCTACGAAGCTAGACACAATAACACTACACAACTGCAAGACAACTCTGCGCAGAAGAATATCTAGTTGTGCACTCCATATGATGTAGAACAAATATCTTACAGTAGATTAGTGATGTTCCCTCTGATACAGAGGCTCCGAAGCTTGCTTCAAACTCCAAGGATATTTTTCTGAAGCACTGTGCGAGAGTTTGCTTCAAATCAGGAAAAACCACGTGACTGATGATGTTCGAACCACTTCTGCTTCTTTCAGGTTGAATCAGCTGACTGGTTTGGTTCGATAGGTGGAGCTTTGAACCACTGGTGCAATACAGATGTATTTAAGATGGAGGAAATAGCGCTACAGTCTGTGGCCTCTAGACAGCCCTGCAGGTGGCCAAGGACAATCCTCTCCATAAGCGTGTGTGTGTGTGCGCTGCCGACGCAGCGGAGAGATGTTTCACGTAGTCAGTGACAGAGCCGCTGTATGGCACAACCTAAACACGGTTTATACTTATAAAACTTGGCTTTCACAATCCAGCAAAAGCTGATGCAGCTGTGCACCGCTGGAAGTCATAGTGTGCTGCCTTAATCCAAAATGCACCTCAAGACGACATACCGTCAACAACGGCACAGCCAGAACCTGCTGCAGCTTCCACGGGTACACCATTAATCATATTTTTGTTTGTTTGTAATTAAATGCTTTATAAATGTCCTTAATGTTTTATTTTGAGGCTCTGACCTGTGGAAGCATCTTGACAAAGATGCCAGAAAATCTAAGAACACTACTGCAGATGCCATTGTGGAGGTTCAGTGATATCGGTCTGCTCCTCCTCTGGATAGATCACAGGACCCCTTAGGTTACTGGACGACACACAAATCTCTGTTTAATCTGGCCAAACAATTCCTGGCGACACCAGCATCTTCAGTGCCTTGTGAAAGGGTCTTCTCCAAAGCTGGGGAAGTTGTCTCAAAAAAGCGAAATCGTCTAAAACCATCCACTGTGGAGACACTATATTATTTTTGAATAAAAATGCCTGAGTCACAAGCACACCCAGTGTACACCAAGCACAATCAGAACACATAATATATTATATTATATTATATTGTCATAACATTAATTACATCCACAGAATCATTGAACCCTTTAAATATTTGCTCTGTCCGATGTGTAATTTTGGATGAATAATTATAAATCCATTTCATATTCTTAGGAGTTCTTGTGGAAGAAAGATTATTTAGGTAGTCAACATTTAATTTCAGATACTTTATAAGGCAAGGAACAAAAACGGACACATGTAAAATGAAGTTAGATTTCAGCTTTATTTAAGTAATTTCCACATTACAACAAAACTCAGTGTACACGCAAGGTGCTTCAGCGTCATCTTTGCAAGGCTGTACAACAACCACTGCGCCAGCAGATGTCACCCACGTGCTCAGTGAATGAAGCTTCAAGTAGTGAACCAATTTTCGATACAATGGTCCAAAAGGGTTCAAAGCTTCACGGGGCCTCCTATGGCCATCACTAGCTAGGAGTCATTCACACACTGAAAACTGGCACTTACCAAAGCTTCACACAGAAAAAAGACATGGAGAGAAGTGACAAGGAGAGAGTGAGAGTAAAGAGTACTGAGAGCAAAAAAAAAAACTCCTTCACACTGGAAGGAGTTAAACTGCAGCAAAGCTCCTCTAGAGAGAAATGAGTTTGGTCAACTATAGTTATTTAGAAAAAGTAATTCAAATACTTTGTAGAATTATGATCAAACTGACTATGTACACAACTATAACATAAACCCGTCTCATGCCAGCAAACAGATCCCATTCAGCTGAGTTTATTTACATGAGATATTTCTTGTAAACAGATTTGGATTTTGTACTGTGTGCATAAATATATGAGCCTGTTGTGTAACTTGTCAGTTTTGCAGCATGTGACTTGTTCAACCTTGACAACAGTAACAGTGGTGAACGTGCACATTTTAGATGACTTGAACACTGGTCAAACTGGGCCTGTCATTTATTACAACTTCTCAGAGCAGACTCTTTTGTTCATACGACACATTAACAAGTCTGTCCGTGTTCTGATCCAGACAGCAGCCGGGGCGTGAGAAGCAATGGTAAAATAAAAATGAAAAATCTGTCCTTTCCAGTTATGGCCCAAAGTATTTGTATTTGCAGTAGTTAACTACACAAAAAGTGGCAACAAGGTAATTTAACTACTTCAGTCACTGCACAGCTATAAATGTTCCAGCAGGTTTCTGCAAAATGGAGCCAAACTACCAGTTTAATTCCCAGTAGTTCACTCGTCATTTGAACATGGGGATTTGGATCCTGGTTTTATAGTTGATGTTTAAATTTCAATGTCAAATATTTGTTTTGGTTGTGAAATTGTTTTACCTGGACTCAGACCAAAACTCACAGACTGAGCAACCATGAGACTGTTTCTAGCCCTTTCGTTTTGCATCCGTTTGTCAGCATTAATGAATGGACTGTGAAAAAAATGGCAAATTGTTGCCTTAAATAGAATTAACATGTTTCTGGTGCTTTATAATTGGCATTGGTCATTAGTTTTATTTTCTATCATGCATGCAGCATGATATTGACATTAATTTTTCTGATTGTGTTGTTGTGGAGTACTGGGCATGATTCACCTCTGTGTGGGGAACCAGTGTGTGGCAGCGAAGTCCCTGGCCGTGAGTAAATAAGGAGTGCAGCCAAAGTTAGTTAAAGAAAGTTTTGTGTGTCTCATTTTTATACAAAATAAACAATTTGATCCTTAAAAATTGTGGGCTTATTACTTAAGAGACCAAGGGTTTTAATTAAATGTTTGCATGTAATTCAAATGTGCCACCCCTCTCTGTGTCTGAGCCCCAGTCAGGCCACCCTGTCCAAAATGTTTCAGATCCGCAGCTGGAGTACTTTCTCCACAGACGTGGTGAGCAGGCCCTGTCAGCAGGGGGCGCTGGCAGACCAGTCCCTGCCCTGAGAGCAGCCTGAGGAGGCGGCGACTCCTTCAGTTTCCTGGTTGGAGCCACACATCGGAGACATGTACAGAGTCCAGCCGGGTCCACGGGTTCATTTTTCAGCTCGCTGCTGCTGGATCGTCTCGGGTGAGTCCGCCGCTTCTTCTCTGTTAAACCTGCTTACACTTCACCTGAACATGCAGGAAATCCTCCGAACACAACCCGGGCTGTCTTCACCTAGGTCTGAGGTCAGGAGACGACTCGGCTCTGACAGTGAGGCTTTAACCAGCGACAGGTTCCCGTGAGAGGCTCCAGACATTATATTACTTTAAATGCCAGAGTCTGTTTACGTAGATTAAACTTCAGGTTTCTCAAGTTATGGACAAGTAACATCCACATCCAGTAACGGTTATTATCATTATCCATTAATGTTATTTTCTCGATAATTATTTTGGTCAGAAATCAGAAATAATAAGAAATGCTTAGAGCATATTAAAACGAGTCGTTTTGTCTGAACAACTGTCCAAAACCTCAAAATATTCATTATTATTATCACGTACATCATAGAAAAGCATCAAATTGTCGCATGTGAGAAGCAGGAAGCAGCAAATATTCAGTTAATTCAGATGAATATGAATTTTATTGCGTTTACCATAAAATATTTTATGCTGTTAAGCTAATTAAATAGTTTACTTACAATACATCTTACTGCACTGCAGGCTCTGCTGCTAATGAGCCTGTTATTAGCTAAAGAGTTAACGCTGGCAAAATTACAGGGACATGGTTAGCCTAGCTTAGCACAAAGGCTGCAAGCTGGGGAAAACTGTTAGCCTTGCTTAGCACAAAGGCTGGAAGTGGGGGCAGAGGGCTGTTAGCCTACCTTAGCACAAAAGCTGGAAGTGGGAACTGTTAGCCTAGCTTAGCACAGAGGCTGGAAGTGGGTGTAAACTGTTAGCCTAGGTTAGCATAAAGGCTGGAAGCGGGGGTAAACTGTTAGCCTTGCTTAGCACAAAGGCTGGAAGTGGGTGTAAACTGTTAGCCTAGGTTAGCACAAAGGCTGGAAGCGGGGGTAAACTGTTAGCCTAGCTTAGCACAAAAGCTGGAAGTGGGGGTAAACTGTTAGCCTAGCTTAGCACAAAGACTGGAAGTTGGGGAAGGGGGCTGTTAGCCTAGCTTAGCACAAAGGTGGGGGCTGGGGGGGGATCTGTCAGCCTAGCTCGGGGGTGGCCCTTTCCAGTTCTCGAGGGCCGCTGTCAGAAGCTGGAAGACACCAATTCACTTTATCTTTCTTC